CCTTTTTTATCTATTTCCTGTACAGCCCTTAGCAAATAGCGGACCCGGTGAAATAAACTACAGGGTGAAATCACGCCGTTCCTACTTTCTTATCCTCCTAAATCTACCCGCCAACGGTAGTATCGCCGGTACGTAACTTTTTAAACCTTTTCTCTTTACATTGGTTTCATTTAATATCGTATTATTATTTCAGCATTTCTTTAGAATAGCTATTTTGTCTACGTTTATTTTCATCCTTTCCTCTTTCACTACGTGTTGTCTGTTCTTATATTTTGCCTTCTGTAACTTTATGTAACTTCCTGCCTTTGTAGATTTATCACTGCAAACTAAAAAACATATATCTGTAATCAAACTACATACTACCTACTTTACCCATTTAGATGCTCGATCTCCACTTTGTCATATTTGTTCTTTCCTTTTTGCCTTTTTATCTGTTATAATAGTCGCATGTTTATATTCATTTCTTTTTCTCGTTTCATCCTTTTGGTCTTCAATAAAACTGTTGCTGAACAGTATATTGTCTTCCGAGTTTTGATTGCTGTAAGGCGTTTATCTGGCTATCTGGCGTAAGCACGGGCGTGAGATGCACGATTATTAGCAGGCAGTGCAATGTATATATACGTACATAATAGGTATATTAAAATTCGGAAAAACGTTCTTAACCTCCTAAATCTACCCCCAATGATAACATAATATGTAAATTTCAAATCTTTTTCTCTCTGTATTGATCTCCTTTAATATAATATTATTATTTGAATATTTGTTTAAGGTAGTTACTTTTGTATACATCAATTTTTACTGCTACACTACCTCATATAAAACTCCTTTCACCAAGTGTTGACTGTTTTCTTACTGCAACTTCATGTAACTTTCTTCCTTTTTTTGGATTTATTATTGTAAACTTTATAACATATTTATGTATGTAAACTACCTGCTACCACCTTCACTCATTTAGACCTTCGGTTTCTGTTTATTACAATCTACCGCTGAATGATTACAAAACACTTTGCTCTCCCCAATCTATAAGCAGAAGCACCCAAAAGTGTGTTGGAATTTTTGGGTAATACTAGTGAGCTGACTCATTTTATAGTTCACCAATAGAAGAGTTAACCAATCAGAAGGCTCAAAATATTCAATGCGATGTGAATAAAGGCAGCCATGTTTTTTTCCCGAATCTTCTCTGACAGCCAGCCTTTGATATCGAAGACTGAAGAATTACGGAACAGCTGCTGGTGGTATTGGCGATATAGGCGGATTCAGTAGAGTGAGTGTTAATCTTTAACGTTGTTTTATTGAACAGATTACGTACTGCGCTGTATTCTATAATCATGGACTATGGTGAACATGGTTAACAAAAAGTATTGCTGGAACTTTTTCCTGTCCAATAAAATAGGCCGGTTCTCGGTTTCATTTAACTCAGTCCCAGTCTGTCCTCTTGAATTTAAATGCTACGTTCGCATTTGTGTGTCAACCCCAATTCTTAGTTTGTGAACTTTTTGCCATATTACTTTTTCTTTGTTTTACTACTGTTAATTTGCTTGAATAAATTGTTTGTATATTTTATATTATTTTTGTCCTGTTTTGTTTTTTCTTCTTGTTATTGCTTTGTTAATTCTGTTTGTTGGACAGTTATGTTACTTAATTTGCTACTTACTCCACAGATTCACAGTTATGCTCAACATTTTAGCCCCTTTGTCATGTTTCTTCTTTCTCTTCCCTTTACTTTTTATTTATTTTGTCATTCGAACTAAACAAGTCTTAAGTTTTTATTTATATCTTTTTTTCTAGCTTCATCTATTCAGCTTTCATTAAACCTGCTGAATGGGTAGGTTAGAATGTCAGCATTCTGACCATAAGTCTCGGGTTCGAATCTCACCATGGTCGATTTGTCAAGAAGAAGACTTCCTGATGTTATCGGACTAGTGGGGTCGATCCTAGCGTGCTGCAACTTTGGAAAGTGCCTGAAAACCATATCACGGGTTGACCCAAGCTTTGTGAGTGAAATTAGGTAGACAGAGCCCTTGTGGGCCGTCGATAGGTGTGCTAGCACGAAGTCACAAGCCTTGTTCAAATTGTTGATCACGCTAGATAACAGTATCTAAGGTCTGCTCAGCATGGTTGCAGTATAAACCACATGTGGGCTCTGTGGAAAACACAAATGTGTCTGAGCAAGTGTCTGCAACAGGGACTGGTTATCCACACTAGTAGATGGTTATCCTCGAATACGATTGGCCAGCTATACATACAAATCTGCTGATGAACAGAACTGTGTCTTCAGAGTTTTCATTGCCGTAAGGCTTTTACCTAGCTATCTGGGGTAGGCACGCGCGCGAGACGGACACGTATTGGGAGACAGAACAATGATGGTGAGATTGGTAGTGCCGGGAAATGTTTCAATAGATAATAAGCACACTTCCGTGCCAGAGTATATTGGTACTCGAGTATCAAGTAGTTTACACACTGCTTACCCCAGCTTCCGCGTTAGATATACCCTCCGAGTATTAAGTTTCCAAAGCCTTCTTTTCTCATTAATTATCCAATGGAGCTCGGCTCTAGCTTTCTAATTATCAGCAACAATTTCTTTGTAGTGTATATTGTCCTTAGACATTATTTACTGGTTGCATGACCTGTTTGTAGTGCTTTCAGCATTCGTCAGTAGAAACACATCTTGGTTAACTTAAGTTTTTTTTCCGTCTCCGAAATAATTGTTCATTTTTCTGACTATATACGAGGATAAACATCTCATAACAGTCTTGCACACTTTTCTTCTTTTCTAATTTTCTATTTTTATTCCTTGGTACGGGGTTGGCGATGAAGTACTCTTAACGGTTACAGACAAAATTTAACCTTATGTGAACTGATAAAAGAAAATATACTTAATCATCTTTATTATTGCAGGAGTTCGTCCGATTCAAATTATCCCCTGGTATTTTGTGTAGTAGTAGAAGTTTGTCCCTTGTTTCCTGTTTAAGATTAAGTTTCCGGTTCCTTCTAAAGTTTTCTCATTTTCTCATCTTCTCATTTTCTTTCACTCCTAATAGACTTGTGCTATTTAGTGGTATTATTGCTTAGCTTGAGGTGAATTGATTTTTTTAAAATCATATAGGCTTTCCAGTCAAGAATTCGTTTGTGTATTCTTCACTAGTCAGCCCACTGTTGGTTCATATACCAAAATTAAACAAATTTGCCGTAAAAAAACAAAAAAAACAAATTAAAAACTGACGAACGTTTAAGCTTGCTATAAAGATTTATACAATGCAATTTGACTGATAGCCATAACTGAGGTCTGACCAATTATTTTATAGTCGAGTAGTTCGAAGAGGGAAACAACTGTCGTTGTCTTCCACCACATTTTAAAATCTGATTTCATATAATAATGATCACTCGGCATATATCGCAAGAGTCAATATCTGATCTGTCATTCCTTAAGTCATGTTCAGCTTTCAGCTGGGCGATGCGCCGCGGATCTTCGGTCGTAATATCTCTGATTTGCAAAAGATTGCGACATGTGCTTATTATCAGGCTCATTTACGCTCTTTTAAATTCATGGTATTAAATTTTCAGCTGCGGACCCGTGACTACTAGCTGACGGAACTCCAAGCCCCTGCAGACCATAGTTCTATAACTAGAATTATAATGATCATTAAAGAGTTCAGAAGTTCTAATAATTTTTTTTTCCAGGTTTTTCTTTATTTCCCATGTTATCACCGTCATTCTTTACTCGCCAGTTCTGGGTACGACGATAAACTATAACCGGCAGCAAGGCTTCTAATCGGGAGATTGGAAGTTTTAAGGAGCGTGTTTTTCTTTTCTTTTTACATGCCATGTCCTTTCAGGACGTAGGTGATCATGGCTCTCCACTTCCTCCCTATCCCTTGTAGCTCTCAATAATTTTCGTCCCTCTGCCACTTCCCACAGACCACGTTCTGTCACCTACTTGTTTAAGCCCGCCAGGTATGTCATGCGTTGCTTTCCCTTGTCTCTCTTTCCAGCTATTCGACCTGTGAGTATCAGATTCTCTAGGCCCTCCTTACGTGTCCCAAAAATTTCATCTGCCACTTCCTGATGTTAAGCGTGTTACCACCTCTTAACTGATGCTGTAACATGACCGGAGTGGTAGGACATTTTAGGGTCAAAGCTATGAGCAAATAGTAACCTCCGCAAAAAACAAATTACAATGAAAGTATAAAATACATTTTTATAGTAAAAATATCTGCAATACGTTTTTATATAAAAAATAACCAGCAATATATTTTTTCTGTTGTTGAAGGCATACAATTGGTATGTTAGTGTCACAGCTATCGGCAAATAGTGACCCCCAATCACAAAAAAGACATGAAAATATAAAAATGCATTTTTATAGCAAAAATACTAGGAATACATTTTTATAGCAAAATAACCAGCAATATATTTTTTCTGTAGTTGAAGGCATACAATTGCATTCAAATTATATTTATTTGAAGCAGTAAAATTATGTTCAAATTCTTAAGATTTCAGCATTAAATAACCCATAGTTAGATTGATGTGCCACAAAAAAATGAACCAACCCATCTTACATCTATACGGAAGGAATTTTCATAATTCTTCTCATTGTCCAATATATAAAAAAAATCTTCTACGAAGTATTACCAAAAATCAAATAATTTATCATATAAATATATAAGAATATTCTGATAAAATATACCATCACTGGTTTGTTTATACAAATTAATCTTTAGAAAACATCGGGTTGCTTAATAAAAACTTACATCGTGTAAAAAAATGAGGACCACCTGTACATACAAAACAGACGAACAATAATCTACTCATGAAACACATGAGTGGACGTCATACGCAGTTGCCAGACATTGTCCTTATGCTCTGGTGCGGGACTACTGTGAGTGATTTGTTGTTCACAGATGGATTAACTCCCTTAGTTAGCTCACATTAAATGTATGGCGCCTAATAAGCCAAGAAAGGAGCAAAGAAAAGAAAGAGAAACACAAATGAAAAATGGTTAGTCAGAAATAATTACAGAAGGAACGGAGATGATAAAAGTTGGAAATTGAGTTAAATAAAAAAAGGTCAGTAGTAGAAAGAAAGAAAGAAAGAAAGAAAGAAAGAAAGAAAGAAAGAAAGAAAGAAAGAAAGAAATATTGCTTTAAAAAAAATAGAAAAAACTGAAAGACGAAAAATCCTAAAAGAGGACAGCCGCGGTAAAGGAAGTTGCGAGATATGAAAGAAAGGGAAAAAATAAAAAAGATAGATTATGAAAAAACAGAAAGAAAAGTCGGGAAAATAGAGAGAGTAAGTAAGGCAAGATGAGAAATAAAGCAGGTGAAAACGAAGCGGTGAGAGAGGAGAGAAAAGAAAGAAAAAAGAAAAGAAAGAAAAGGTGAAAGCAAAGAGAGCATAAATAGGACAAAAAGAGGAAAAAAATAGGTGAAAAGCAATCGGTGAAAGAGGGAGAAAAGAAAGAAAGAAAGAAAGAAAGAAAGAAAGAAAGAAAGAAAGAAAGGAGAAAACAAAGTAAGTGTAAATAGGACAAGAAGAGGAAGAAAGTAGTTGAAGCGGAAGTTGCGGAATAGGAAAAGAAAGAAAAAAAGCAAAGAGAGATAATGCAAAAACACAGCAAGACAAAAGGAGAAAAAGTGGAAGAGGTGAAATGGATGGTGCGAAAGAGGAGAGAAAAGAAAGAAAAAAGAAAAGCGAGACAATGTGAAAACCAAGAACGACTAAATAGGACGAGAAGAGGAAGGAAGTAGGCGAAACCGAAGCGGCGAAAAAGGAGAGACCGAAAGAAAAAAAAGCGGGAAATTGCGAAATCACAGCAAGACTAAATTGAAAAAAAAAAGAAAGAAAGTAAGTGAAAAGGAATCGGCAGCGAAAGAAGAGAGAGAAAAAAGAACAAAGATAACAAAAGAAAGGTTAAATATGATATAAAGAGAAAGAAAGTGGATGAAGCGGAAGCCGAGAAAGAGAGAAAAGAATGAAAAAAGACAAGAGAGAAAAGTGAAACCTCCCAAAGACCATGTAGGACAAGAAGAGAAAGAAAGTAGGTGAAACGGAAGCTGCGAAAGAGGAAGGGAAAAAAGAAAAAAAAAAGAAAAGAGAGAAAGTCGAAAATAAAGAAAGACCATGTAGAACGAAACGAAGAGAACGAAACTACGTGAAACGGAAGCGACGAAAGAGGAGGGAAAAAAAGAAAAGAAAGAAAATGCTAAAATAAAGAAAGACTAGGACAAGAAGAGAAAGAAAGTAGGTGAAACGGAAGCTGCGAAAGAGGAAGGGAAAAAAGAAAAAAAAAAGAAAAGAGAGAAAGTCGAAAATAAAGAAAAAGACCATGTAGAACGAAACGAAGAGAACGAAACTACGTGAAACGGAAGCGACGAAAGAGGAGGAAAAAAAAAAAGAAAAAGAAAATGCTAAAATAAAGAAAGACTAGGACAAGAAGAGAAAGAAAGTAGGTGAAACGGAAGCTGCGAAAGAGGAAGGGAAAAAAGAAAAAAAAAGAGAGAAAGTCGAAAATAAAGAAAGACCATGTAGAACGAAACTACGTGAAACGGAAGCTGCGAAAGAGGAGGGAAAAAAAGAAAAAAAAAAGAAAAGAGAGAAAGTCGAAAATAAAGAAAGACCATGTAGAACGAAACTACGTGAAACGGAAGCTGCGAAAGAGGAGGGAAAAAAAGAAAAAAAAAGAAAAGAGAGAAAGTCGAAAATAAAGAAAGACCATGTAGAACGAAACGAAGAGAACAAAACTACGTGAAACGGAAGCGACGAAAGAGGAGGGAAAAAAAGAAAAGAAAGAAAATGCTAAAATAAGGAAAGACTAGGACAAGAAAAGAAAGAAATTAATTTAAAAGTAAGCGGTGAAAGAAGAGAGAAAAGAAAGAAAAAAGAAGAAAATTTTGAAAATACATCATGACTAAATGGGACAAGAAGAGGAAAAAAGTAGGTGAAACGAAATTATAGGGAAGGAAAAAAGAAAAGAAAAAAGAGAAGAATAGAATAGAAGATAGAAAGTAGGCAGAGGAAAAGGTTAAAAATAGAATCAGTACGAATGAGATCTTCCTCTAAATATACCGTGATGTAACAAAACAAATGATGAAATTAAAAGAAAAAAGAAAAAAGAAAACAGGACCCCCAATTACCGAAAATCTACTCTGTAAACGTAAAATAAAAAAAATTCAATAACATATTATTTATTTAGAAAAATGAAATACGAATAAAGTAATAAATAAAACATCATCTACCCCCTTCAACTTTTTTTTATCCAATATTCCTGGTATTCGTAGGAATTTCTCTATGTAATATTTTCCCTCGAAACGTTTTCCAGGTATCTACGCACTTTGCGAAACTAATTTAAAATCTTCTATCGCTGCCAATGGGTTTTATGTTCCAAGCTGTCTTCCGCTTTTTCGAAAACAACAAAAAAGAACTGTTTTCATTTTCTTTTATTAGAATAATTTATAAAGTTTTAAATCTTCTAAATTTCTGTGCTAATTTGTAGCGTTTAAATGATATTGTTATTAAATAACCTCTTCGCTAACAACGTTTAAAAAGGCTGCTCTCTGTTCAACAGTTGTCTAATATGTCGCACATGTATTTTCTCTGGACATAAAAGTGCTGACATTATGCTTCAGTTTTAGCCGCAGTCTGATCAGTTTGTATTGCCATAGACAATCGATAGTGATAATTATTTTGATCTTTTCCTTCTTAAAAATAATCTTTTTTATGACAGATACAATTAAATGAAATACGAATAAAGTAATAAATAAAACATCATCTACCTCCTTCAACGTTTCTTTATCCAATATTCGTGTTATTCGTAAGAATTTCTCTATTACGTAATATTTTCCCTCGAAACGTTTTCCAGGTATCTACGCACTTTGCGAAACTAATTTAAAATCTTCTATCGCTGCCAATGGGTTTTATGTTTCAAGCTGTCTTCCGCTTTTTCGAAAACATTCTAGGATACATTTTTTACATTATTCGGACTATTGTCCTCATCTTTGTCGCCATATTTATCACAACGTTTCGTCCGTTGTACGCTCCGGTCTTCTTCAGGTGGTTGGAATGTCGAACTGAACCTTTTATTTCGCTCACTGGGGTAGACTGTACTAGTTCCACGTGCCATGTTTGATAGATGTCAGTTATCAGTTATCTCCTGTTAATTTCCCTCTGAAGAAGGCCTGGGCGTACAACGGCCGAAACGTTGTGATAAATATGGTGACAAAGATGAGGACAATAGTCCGAATAATGTAAATAATGTACATAGTACCTCATCTCAGAAATATAGACAGATTCTAGGATATATATTGCAAGGGAATTTTCTCTTGGGTCCACAGATGTTACTTTCATATTCTTTAGTTATTGCACTCTGTTCGCTGTCCCCTTTTCTTTTATCGCTCTCCTTCGTCACAGGACTGTAATATAATAGATAATAGATAATATCTTTCTCTCTTTCTGTATTCATCCGCAAGCATTTTTGTGTTTGATGATTTTAATGCTAATCACGAAAATTAAGCTCCCACATGTTACTGATGTTGTCACTGTTCATATTTTAAATTTTTTCATTCTCAGTCAAATAGTGGATTTCCCTAATAAATCTGATCAACATGTTTCTTTATTTAATTTATTCCTTACTGCCTCTCCTAACTTTTGTCGTGCATCATAAGTCTGTCTTCTGGGCAAATTAGATCATGCTTTAGTAACTCTTGATATTTCTTTTGAATCGTTTATTAGACAGGACCCTCCTATTCACAAAACTTATTTCTGTTATCAGTTATTGTGATTTATTTCATGACTTTATTCGAGATTGATGACTTTATTAGATTGATATTCTTAAACTTCCTATTCAGAGAGTTAAAGCCGGCGTCGATACTTTTGTACCTTCTCGGTAATACCAGGTGAAACCACGATCTACTCGTTGGTTCACACCGGCCTGTGGGCTATAGCGGCTAGGTTCAGATGCTATAGCCGACAGGAATCACTTTGTCCCAAGCGTAATAGTTCTGATCACAACTGTCGCCTCTTTGTATCTGCTCGTAATAATTTTGAACGTGTCCTCAAAGAGGTTAAATCTTTGCTGATAGTCTTTGCTTATCGTAAATACTGGCACTTCTATAATTGTGTTTTAATTAAGAGTATAGGAGAATGGACGAAGAATAAAAACGAATGGACGACTGATGAGATTCTCGACATGATGGAAAGGAGATAGAATATGGGACGGAATACAAAAAAATCACACAATGATATAAGGACCAAATGCAGCCAGTCTAAAAAAGAGTGGCTAAAGAAATTTAGTGCAGAAATGGAGAGATTGAGTACCACCATCAAAGGAGATATGCATAAACAAAGAAGGGAACTAACAGAGCAGAAGACGTGCTCGCCACAGGCTGTATAAAAGGATGGAACGCTCATATTGGAAAAAAATATTCAACGCTGGAACGAGTATATTGAAGAACTCTTCGTGAAATGAACGTTGTCACACCTCTATTTTTTTTTTTTTTTTGGGGGTAAAACATTTTGGATAAATGCAAGTATTCTCCAGGGCCCTATCTTTGGACCTACGTTTTTCCTAATTTTCAACAATGACCTTCCTGATATCATCAGTTTTCAACGCGGTATTTATACTGATGACACAACTATTTACTCCTGTCTTGGTAGTAGGTCTGATCGATTCGATAAGGTCAAATTAACAGCTGATCTAAAAAATGAAATGCAATTTGTTGTTACTGGGTCAACGAATGGCTTGTTAATAATAACACAATATACAGAAATGCACTCTTTTAATCGTCTGCAAGAACCATTTTTACCTTCCATCAACATGACCGATACTAACCTCTGGGAGAGTAACTCATTGCGAATTTTCGGACTAAATTTTTCCGCTGACATCTTACATTGAATCAATTGTTAAGTCTGCTGCTAAAAAAGTTAGTTCAATTAATCGTGCTAGACAATCTTTCTAAAAATTTCTTCTTTCACACTACTTTTTTGTGGGACTCTCTTTCGGCTTCTTGCTTTCCAGATATTTTTGATCTTCAAATATTTAAATGTCTATCGTTATCTTCTGTCATTTCAATTCCTGTTCTTTTATTGTTCTCTCCCCTTAATAGTGTTTTTCTTTCATTCTCTCGCATTCTAGTAATCGCTTGCGTCTTAGTGGCTTTATTGCCTTGCTTGGGGGTGAAATGATTACAAAAAGAAAAATAGAACCATATTTCTATTACTCCTTCCGTCCATCTGTGATGAGTTGGAACAGAATTTACTGCCATATAGGAGGACTGAAATTACATAATATTTCACTACTCATTACGTTGCTTTTAACATTTTTTTCTGTTTCGTAATTATTTGCTTAGCTTTTGGTTGGCATCTTTCACTATTCCAATACGCCTTCGGATTTAGGTGTCGCACTTTTTACGCCCTCTGTTAAAATACTTTCTAGAATGAAGTAATTAAATGTCTTCAAGATGGCCCTAGTGGGTTCCTTGATCCCTTGTACCGACCACCAAGACGGCTTTCGCTTTACACCAGTTCATTGAAAAAAGGACACCACGAGTGTAGGTTGTCAGTCATGCAGATGACGTGACCAATGCAATCTTCGATCGACAAACGTGGCTTCGATGACTGTTGGTTGTGGATGTTTACTAATTTCTAGTAGTTTATCTCGCCAATGTAACCTGAGGATTATTTATAGGGAGAACTTGCGGATTCGTTCAAAAATTCAAAAATGGCCACGTTATTGTGTCGAGGATTCGCAACCATATACCAGCGTGGAAACACAGTAATATGTCCCGAAAATGGATATATTTGCTCAAAGTAGCAAAGTAGTTTTGAACTACTGTAACCGAGTAGGACAATCTAGCAGGTAACCGTGATGGACTGGTCCTCGTCGTAGTGGTATACAATAGACGTAGCCAATAGGCGTCGTCCATGTACCTCCACATCAGTCTGTATTTATGGTTGACACCAGCCAATCATATTAATGTGAGGGGGAACCCAGGTGTATGCATATTCATTACATCACACAGCTTTATATTTTAGGGAGTTGGACGGAAAAGTCCCCGCTTCCGTTTAAAGGCTGTATATAATTTTTTTTTTAATCTGAGATTAAATAAAGACAGTTTATTATTATTATAAACGTCGATCTTGATCTTACGTAGAAGGTTTCTTTTCAAAAAGACAAGCATTTCTTTTATATCTGTAAAGTATGCATGATCATATAAGTTAGTAAAATGGTTTCCTATTACTTACTCCACAGATATTCGAGATCTTGGTCTGAATCCCCTTCTGGTCAAGTGTTTGAGCTTCTCCGTTACGTACAGCATTTCAACCCAAGCAAGGTGGGGGTGCCACTAGTACGCAAGGGGCTACAGAAGGTTTAGAACAAGAGTTAAAAGGCATGTTTGAGGAAACGCTAAAAAGAAGGATGGGTAACAAGATCAATGCATTAGAAGATGTCGATTGACATTACACTTGAATATTTGAAGATTATAGTTATCAGGGAAGCAAGCAAGATGAAGGGAGCTCCACAGACGGGAAATGCGACAGAAGAAGCTGTTAGAGTCGGGCTGGCGTAATCAAGGCGGACCTTGACAGAGAAAGCATCCGACAGCGCAATGCAACCAGGTTTGCCAGATCTTGCCTATCTCGAGCCCCTTTGAGCCGCGGGGAAAGCGATTCTGGGCCAAGTGTGTGAGCTTCTCCGTCGAGCAGAGTTGTCCACCAAAATCAAATTCACGCGAATGGCCTCCTCAAACTCTCTTTGATTCACAGCTATCTTTGCCATCATTAAGATTTTTGTTTGGTTTCTTTACTTAGAGAATTATCATACATTATTATACAAGGATTTAGAATCTTACCAACAACAGCAGCAACACTTCAGTAACTGAATGCCGAATGTTCCATTTTTGAAAACGGCTAATGTCACAATTACCATTAACATATAAACAGCACCTTCCTCGAAATCCATATGGATGCCATCATTGAAACATTAAAGTATTGCTGGTTCTCTTCATCTCATTATCGATTTTGGCAAGGAAATCTGGAGAGAGGATGACGATCCCGATGTTCGGATACGAGTGAGTGCCGACAACAACAACTTCACAGTTTTGAATTCAGAGTTGTCCAGATTCTAGCCTGGTTACCAAACGAGGTTAGAAACTACAACAAACACTGCGATTTAAAACATAGCTGAGGATGGGGATAGGGAAGAAGTGGTTTCATGCCTTTTTCCGAGAGAACTTGTGCGAAGGTAACAAAACAAACGGTCCCAGCGGATTTGAACTCAACTCGCCGTTTCCGGTCTGTTTACCCCTAGACCACCTGCACTTCATTGTCAGAGCTGCTAACCTTTATTAACCTTATAAGCATGTGTTTTATGCTCTCCGCCTTAAATAGATAATCCGCCTTTTTTCTTTGCTTGATCCTCTTAATGTGGATTCATTACGATTCATCTATGGCCTGTCAACATCTTCTTTTCTTAGGTTCCCATTTCTTTTTTTATTACTCTTTTATATCCCTTATTTCTCTCTTTTTCTGGGCCCTTTCTACTTGTTCATGTTCGCATCTACTTCTTTTTCGTATTATTCTGTTACATCTTCTTTCTGTTCCCTCCCGTCTACTTTCTTTTGATTTCTTTTCTTAATCGTTTTTTTTTCTTTTCTTTCTCTATTCTTATATTATTGTCATGCTTTCATTTTCTTTTGCTTTTTGCTTTTTTTCTTTCTAATATCAACCAATCATTTTACAAACCGCTTCCTTTTTTTACTACATTTTCATGTTTTTTTTTTTCATTTCTTTAGCCTCGCTTTCATTTTTTCTTAGCGTATTTTTCTTCAATATTGTCTCTCTTTCATTTTCACATACGACTCATTGCTCGTATATTATTTCTCCTTCTTCTTCTTCTTCTTCTTCTTCTTCTTCTTCTTCTTCTACCTTTCTTTTTACATCTTTACTTTCTGGCTTTCCTCTTTCTTTCTTTCTTTCCCATGTACCCTTCTTTTCTTCCTCTTAGAAATTCTTCTTTTTCTGTTATTCTATCTTTTTATCGTTGATTTTACACCTTCACCTTTTCATAGCTTTCTTCCTACTTTCTTTTTCTTTCTTTCTTTCTTTTTTCTTTCTTTCTTTCTTTCCTCTTAGTAATTCTACTTCCTCTTCTTTTTCCCTTTTTCTTTGCATTCATACTTCTACAAATACTTCGTCCTTTCCTTCTTCATAGCAATTCTTTTTTCATCAATCTTTTTACAACTTTACTTTATCTTAGCTTTCTTTTTTAATTCCTTCTTTCATTCTTTATTTCTCATTCATCTAAAATTCTTTCCTTCCTCTTAGTAAATTCTTTTTCATTTCTCTTTTTCCCTTTCTTTTCTCCTTCACTATCTCCATGCTTTTCCTTTTCTTTTTATTCATTTTTTATTTTCTTCACTCTTTTTTTCATTTTCCTTTTTCGTTTATTCCTTGTTGTTCATCTTCTCACCTACCCCTACCATGTTTTAGGCACCCCTCCCGACTGATCTGCCCAATTATTCCTGCCATGGGTACTTGAGCACCACCGTCTATCAATTATAATCTACAAAAATACCTTTCACCGGATAACCTAAACTCCGTCCACCCATAAAAATTGAAGCAAATTGTCGAACAACGAAAATCTGACATCTCGAACTAAGATTTCGAATAGATAGATAGATAGATAGATAGATAGATAGATAGATAGATAGATAGATAGATAGATTTCAACTATATGAAAGTCTTTCTCGAGATACTGAACCTGTACAATTTGTAAAACATCGACTCGAAGAGTTATACGTATATGCTGGTTTTAGTTTGAATATTTGCAAGAGTTTAAATTCTTGGGTTGCGTAATAAAGATAGCTTGGAAAATTTAATATTTACAGGACACATCGACATAAGAAAAAGCTGATGAAAGCAATTTACTTATGAAGTTTGAGCAAATGGAGCGAAAAGTACTACAAAAATTTCGGAAAGAAGCCGGTACACTTCAGGGCAAAAAACAACAGGAAGCCATGGAGGGCTATGATCACTCTTGAATGGGCATTGCGCATAGACAGAAAGCGAGAGAGAGAAAGAGAGACTCATAGAGAGGGTGGGAGAGAGTGGGGAGATTAGGGACTAGATGGGGTAGAAATCAATGAACAAAATCTCGCATGCGTATATATATTGGCCAAGTGAGAATATCGTACTGAAATTCCTTTTTTTAATGAATACGTAGTATAATAGTCCTCCACAGCTTCCTTTCTTAATATCTGTGAATTGTCATGACATCGTGAAAAAGATAGTGGACAGGTTTCCTGTTCAATATCTGTCTATATTTCTGAGGTGAGGTATTATGTACATTATTTACATTATTCGGACTATCGTCCTCATCTTTGTCGCCATATTTATTACAACGTTTTGATCGTTGTACGCTCCGACCTTCTTCAGGTGGTTCACTGTGCCATGTGTCCTCAAGGACACATGGCTCATTGGATGAAGGTGTTGGTTAGATCCAGTGACATGACTCAAAGAGTGTGAGTTCAATACCCGGTTAAGGCAGCGGAGAACTTTCAGCGGGAAATTAACAGGAGATAACTGATAACTGACATCCATTGAACATGGCACATGGAACTAGAACAGTCTACCCCAGTGAGCGAAATAAAGAGTTCAGTTCGACATTCCAACCACCGGAATAAGGCCGGAGCGTACCACGGCCGAAATGTTGTAATAAATATGGCGACAAAGATGAGGACAATAGTCCGAATAATGTAAATAATGGTTTCTTCTTGCCTTCTCCTCAGCTTTGAATCCAGGATTGGCATTTTCCTATACTAGCCTCTAGACAAGTTTAACAACCCTTTTATTTAGTTTATATCTGGGTGTAGGAAAAATGTACTCACACCTTTTCAAAGGACTTAGGTGTGCTGTGAATGCATCAGATTTGGTCTGATTTTGAATTCGGTTAATAGATTTCAAGTTTTACAAATTAAATTCTTCAAGCAGTTGCTAGTGAATTTAATCTTTAGTAAGTGCTATATTATTGCATCGTCAATTTTATCCATTGTCTCGCCCGAATATATGATTGTACTGAGTGTACCCTCAACGACAAACAAAACTAGGGTGGTCTTACCCCAGCATTTTCCTGTTCCTGTTCCTGTTTCTGCGGCCAGTGTCACAAAGACAACAGTATGACCTCCGAGAAACCACTTTAGTGCAATGGAGAAATACTCCTTCGGAGTTGAAATCTCCAGGTATTATAATACTTTTGCTTCACTTTCATACCCTGTCCGACCTGTTTGACATCTAATCTCTTCTCTGGTCGAACTCTAACAATTCACTCAGGATTGAGTGACTAACTTTTAACTTACAGTACCTCGAAAAGCAAAAGCTTGTATCATTTCAACATTACTGAGCGGACTCTGAATTTATACCAGTCAAGATAAACGATTTTTACTCTGAATGAGTTTTTTTTTCATTTATCCAATTTCCTTTGATTTCTCTTCTTTGTCGTTTTTTTTTTCTCCTTTCTTTATTCTTCTTTTATTATTATCATGCTTTCATTCTCTCTCTTCGTTTTTCTTTCTCATTTCGACCAATTATTCTCTAAGCCGCTTCCTTTTTTGCCATATTTTCATGCTTTTTTTCTTTTCATTTCTTTAACATCTTTTCCAATTTTTCTTAACGTATTTTTTTCAATATTGTTTCTCTTTCATCTTCCCAGATGTCTCATTTTTTTTTTCTTTATCCTTCTTCATATATTATTTCTCCTTCTTCTGGATATATTTCTTCTTTTTTCATCCTTCTTTTTACACTATTATTTTCTCCTAGTTTTCATTTTTCTTTCTTTCTTTTTTTACTTTTTTTTTTCCTCATCTACCGTTCTTTCTTTCCTCTTAGTAATTTTTCATCTTCTTCGTCTTTCTTTCTTTCTTTTTCATCGTTCTTTTTACATCTTTTCTTTTTCCTAGCTTTCCTTTTTTTCTTTCTTTCTTTCTTTCTTTCTTTCTTTCTTATTTACCCTTCTTTCCTTCTTCTTAGTAATTATTCTTTTTTTCTACTTCATATTCGTTTTCCCTTGCTTTCCTTCTTTTTTTTATCGTTCTCTTTACAACTTTACTTTCACATCGCTTCCCTCTTTTTTCCTTCTTTCTTCTTTTCATTTCTTTTTTTCTCATCTACCCTTCTTTCCTTCCTCTTTGTAATTCGTCTTTTTCTACTACTACTTCTTTTTCTTTTTTTCCTGTCTTTGCTTCTTACTTACGAAATATGCCTCGCTACATACACACAATTGAATCGCCTTCATTCGAATTCTACGCCGAGATTTTATTCCCAAGAACCACTACTTTGTGAGAATTGCGGCCGCATCACGTGCAAACACCGTTTCCCGTTCGATAACCGGAGTTAAGCAAGGCTGTTCAGTACCTAGATGACTAGACTGGGACTAAGCCAGATGGGACCGAGATCTGTCTAGGAAAAAATCCCAGCTTACGTTGGTGTGTGGCTCTGCTTATAAATTGGATGAGGGGAAGTATTTTGTAGTCATTCCCTATCAAACATGGAACAAGCAATTATTATTGACACCCAAAATGCCTTACAATCTAAACATATTTTCTGCCTTCAAATATCATGCAACGGGTTGATATACCGTAATAAAACGAATCAATCAAAAAAAAACTTTCTGACGCAGACGGCGGCTTGGATGCTTACCCATATACTACAACCTTAACCGCTTCAAATATAGGATCAATAGTCATATATACGCTATATCCTCGTAATATTCACTTCTTACTATCTCCTCTTACATCTGTAACATTCTACCTTGAATGGCTCTTGATCCTTATATTGAGTGAACTTGAGTAATATATATATATATATATAATGGATAATAATATCAAACCCGTAAGTGGAAAAGATAATCCAGGTAGATCTTTTTAATATAAAATATTAAAAAGATCAAGCCACAGAGAGAAGTCAGTGTATAATACACAGAACAATATGATATAGATCAAGGAAAAACTTAACGCATCATTGAAAGTACGGTAATAAATTATAATTTATTTCAGCGTGTAATTTTTAACACCATTCTCATCAGAACGAAATTAGAAATTGTTTACCCGATGAAATAAATTATAATTTATAACCGTGTTTTCGATGATGCGTTAATTTTTTCCTTGATATATATATATATATATATATATATATATATATATATATATATATATATATTTTTTCCTTGATATATATATATATATATATATATATATATATATATAAAAACATTAAATATACCACATCTTATACATAAAGTATAGTGTATGGGTGTGTTTGTGCGTGTGTGTGTGTTCAAGCATCTCCTCCGCTCCCACTGATCCGATTTCAATGATTCATAGATCATTCAAAAGCCCTAAAAAAGTTAAACGCCGGGAATAATTTTCGTTGAACTCCGATTCAGGGTTGCTAGATTAAGCGAGGTTAAAAAATATATATTAATATATTATACTAGCCATTATTGTTGCTTTCATCGTTCAAGGGGAGTAACTCTTATTTTCCTTTTGTATCCAAAATTGCAATGCACGTTTTATTATAAACTAGCTTAAAACCGGCCTATCGGGCGGCGTTTAATCTAGTGGAGTGCTCTTGGTTTGGCTATCATCAAAATAACTAAGCAGGAGTAGATGCGATAGGCATCAATAAACTACAGAATAACTCAAAATTGATCGCTGCATTGCTATATATATATATATATATATATATATATATATATATATATATATATATATATATATATATATGTCTGATATCATGTAACTTATAGATTGTTTTAAAGAGACAAAACCGCATATTTTCCCTTTAAAATGTATTCTTTTTTTTCCGTGCAACCCCTCACCAGAAGAGTCGTTGGCGACTCGTACAATGTTAACAAGAATTGCGGAATAATAGACAGACTGCGAAGAAACGAGGGACTCCGATTAAAATGCAACTTAATATTAAAAAGGGGAAGGAAAAAAGGGAGAAAATGGCAAAAAAATAAAAAGTTCCAGTAAGTTTAAAAAGAGCCATATAAACTCATATACAACCGAGTAAAACAAGAGAACGAATAAATTTCTGTTTCTGACGACACAAAGACGCTCGGTACAATTTAATGTATTCTGCCTCTAAGGTGTGCAGATGCTTTGCCTATCTTACTTTGCCCGAAATGAAAAACCATGAATCTGTGTACTTATACGCACAATCTGGATTATCTAACCGGTATCTATCGTGGAATCCTGTGCCGTCTGCGTCATATGTGTATTATGGTAATAATACCCTGTCTGATATTGCTAGATACATATTGTGCAATACACATTTCAAGGTGCTGATTGTATTTTAAATCGTATTTTGCCGTTTCCTCTCAGATTGTCTACTATCCGGCGATTCTTGTTAATATTATGATAGTTGCCAACGATAATTCTGATGAGGTGTTGGCCGAAAAAACTTACTTTTCAAAGGGAAAAATAGGTGGCTTTGTCTGTTTAAAACCATCTATCTATCTATCTATCTATCTATCTATCTATCTATCTATCTATCTCTCTCTCTCTCTCTCTCTCTCTCTCTCTCTCTCTATATATATATATATATATATATATATATATATATATATATATATATATATATGTATATATATATATATATATATATATATATAGTAAAGGTAATAAACCCGTTGGTATATAATCCAAGTGAATACTAGTAATATAAAATATTAAAACTGATCCACAAAATGAGCACAATGTATTTATTATAACAGAGCCAATAAATAGTATTACACAATAAAATCCAAAATTGCTTCATATGAAGTGGGGGATGGATCTATTTCAACCGACGAAAACTACGTCAGTCTTATTCAACCTCGGTATAGAGACTGAATACGTGTCGGAATTAGAAATTTAACTGTAAATAGCAGTCGAAAAATTGATACAGAATTTATCAATTTCAATGTTTCAGTCAAACGAAATGCATGAATAGTCATGAGAGGGTGGAATGAAATAGCCTTAAAAGGAAGAGGTTTTATAAAATTAAACCCGGATATTAACCTTATGACATTAAATTGAGGTTATATGAAGAATGGAATGTTAATTTGAAACTAAAAGTGGACCGGAAAGGGAAAAATGCTCTTCCAAAATGTTAGTCAAATGCAATTTAAAACATTGCTACTACAGTCATAATAAATTTTGTTGAGTGTTGGTTGGTTGCTTTTCATATAGAGAGCCTCGAGAATTTGAAGTTTTTGTTTATTATTTTCATGGTATAGTATATTGGTGTTGTCAACGATATATTTTCCTGTATTGAAACAAGATTGATGCGAAGATAGTAAACGCTGGTCTCTTTTGTTTACTTTTGGCCCACACATAATAATCAAGGGGTTTGTAGTCTGGGGAGTTACGTAGCCAGATGTAAGGGGTGATGAGGTCGCAGAAATTGTCTGACAGCCATGACTTGGTTCTCTTGCTTGTGTAGCATGGTGCAGAGTCCTATTTCCAGACATAAGGTCACTAGCAGCCACCCTCTTGACCCAGGGCAGAGATTGTAGTTTCACTTGTGAAAGAGGTAACTTCTTGATATTATTCGCATATGAAGATTATTCCAGTGGGACGCATTTGAACGAGGGACCAACAAAATCGCTAGTAACACCAAAGATGTACTGAAGGCAAGGATTATGGCAGCATTCACCAACTTAAATAAGGAGACCGTTCAGAAGAGTTTCAGGAGGTTTCGAAGTCTTCTGAAGCAAATGGCGATTTTATTGAATAAATTTACTCTTTAGTATTTTAAGATATTTTTGTGCAATTTTGATAAATATATATGTTAAAATGAAATCCTCGGAAAATTTAATAATGACAATTTTCTCTCCGGAAGAATTCGAACATACAGGAGGAACTTAAGATATCTCTTGTTTTACCTGGTCGACCACGAAGAGTTTTCCAATCAAACAAGGTTCTACTTAGCCATTAAATCGCTTTCACTCGCTAAGATTTTCTCATAATAACATTATGTCGGTTTAAAAAGAATGAATTCGAAAACAAAATTAATTCCACGTTGTTAGAGACGAAGGCTATTGATATGATAGAAATTACTGCCAATAAAGCATATTTTTATATCTTACTAGAGGTAATAGCTGAGAAGCAGTCTGATAAAACTGCGTCTGATAAGAATTCACAAAAAAGGCAGTCATTCATTGACGCTTATTGATTGATAGATGGATATGAAAAGAATGAAATAGATAGATAGATAGATAGATAGATAGATAGATAGATAGATAGATAGATAGATAGATAGATAGATAGATAGATAGATATGAACAGACTGCAATAGATAGATAGACTGAGCTTAGCCTAGTAATATCCGCATTTACTGTGCATTGAATATCAACTATAGCCCCTCCTGGGGACTGTATAGCAACACCTGGGGACTGACAAGACTTTGTCTCACCACCCACTCTCATGCGAACCATTAAATAAATGGTAACGGGTGGGGAAGTTAGTTTTTCTTTCTACTATCCACTCTCTTTTCCTCTCTCTCTCTCCCTCTCTCTCTCTCTTTCTCTCTTTATTTTATCTCTTTTTCTCTGTGTTTCTAACCACTTCGCCTATTCTTTCATCAAAAGCATAACTACAGATTTTATGTCTATTTCTTGGGACATCTATAGAAGCCTTCTTCTTGATCTAGTGAAGAGAGTTGAGAAAACGCATGCATTTTTGCCTCACCACAAGCAACTTCTTCTACATCAGTGCGCGATTATATACCAACATGTATAGCTCCTACATGGTTGTTGGTTGTGTAACTCTCTTCGACTCGGGAAAAGAAATTGGCGAACAGAGTTCGAATTCCAGTCGAGTTCGTTCTCTTTCGCGCAAATACCCTTCTCCCCCAGTTATGGGTTAAATACCATAGCTTACTAAACTCTTTTCGCCTTGAGTTGGCAACCAGTCGAGAAGGAAAACTGATTTCAAAACAAGCCTGAAGACGGATCGGTTCCGTTAGTCTATCTTGACACACCACTACTTCAAGACTCACAGATGCAGTACATGACGTAACCCCAAATGCTTTAGAGCTAAGCAATTAGATCGGTCATAGGCTAACTGCAACCCGGGGGTCTCATGCGGCAGGCTTGACTTTCCAAATGGCATACTTAATTTCTTGAAGAAAATAACGTTTAAAATTTTATATGTTTCTCACTCACACATTCTCTCGTACTTAACTACATACGGAAACAATGATTAAGTAAAATGATTACTGAGTTTTGTAATATTTCATTGAAGATAACGTTTCCATCATTTTAAGCCATTGCCTATTTTTACGAAGGAATATCATACGTGTAAACATATTTTGCTTTAAAAACAGGAAACTTCTATAATATATTTTTCT